TCCGCAATTGGCAGCTGCTACCATAAAATCTATTACTATTTCAGAATTGTCTGTTCACCCTTCTCTATTCCTTAACGGAACAGTGCTTTGCCCTTACGGACAACTTTTGTATAAATGTTGGTAACACTCTCCCTTTCTCTTTAGTTTTCTTTCCCACATTTATTTATTCAAGTATTGAGGAAGATGAATAAATACAAATAAATTAAAATGCAGTACATTTAGGTATAATTACACCCTCAGCTGTGTACAATAAATACGTACAAGGGAAGAAATAAAAGTTCTTTTCTGCATTTCGCTCCCCTTTTTACTTATATAATATTAATTTCATTCATTCATTGTTATTGAAAGGTCTACGTAACGTTAAGCTGCCATCTCCCTCTGAGGGTACGGATAGTAGACATAAAGTCTTTAGAACACAAGGTATGCTTCTGTTACCGTGGGGCTATATTGCTTCAAATGGCAAACAATAAATATTAGGCCAGCATATACATGTGGTTTGTCTATTTGATATTGCAGCAGCATGGGTTAAAGTAATAGATGGAATATTGGAAGTCGTATTTATACCCCTTCGACCCTTTGGAGCTGGTACTCAATTACACCTTTCTCTTTGTTATTCTTTAGAATTTCTTCAAATAGTCTCTCCTCATGATTCTTTGTCTTGACTTGGTGTAGAGAGACTGAAGTGCATATATGAACTGAAGTTAACCCATATGTACGCCAAGTCAGTTTTGCAGTACTGGTGCAAGGAAATATCAACCTACAGGGATGCCACACAACTTGTTGAAAGTGGAACAATCTCCGCAATCTTCCAAGCAATCAAGAATGGCACAGTCGAAATTGTGATTGAGATCCTTCAAGCTAACCCAGATACAATTTGGTGCAATAAAACGCTTTCAAGAGATATACTCAGCGCTTCAATCAAATATCGTCAAGGAAGGATTTTACGGTTTGTTTACAGGCTTGATGCAGGGAACAAAGCATTTCTCTCTTTAGGAGATGAAGATGGAAACAACATGTTGCATCTAGTAGCCAAGTTACCTGACCTTCGGCATTATAATAATCTCCGTCCAGCTTGGATTATGCAACAAGAAATAAAGTGGTTCCAGGTTTGTAAATTAACTCTAATGAACTTCATATTTCTTTTCTCAAATTAATGTTGAAAATATGCTATATTTTAATCCATTATTTTGTTTTATTGAAGGTACATTAGAAAAAAAAAATGTTTTCTTTCCTACTGCTGAAATTTTAAAATGACAAGCAATCATATATTATCTATATATCATATTATGAAATCTTTTGGTGGGGTTTTTCTTTTTCAAGGGTTTTTTCACTCTCTTTCTACTTGTCCCTTAATTTTTTTAGGCGAATTCAAATTTAGAGTTTTTTTTTCCAATTTATTTATATACTTTCGTGGATCTTCTCACAAAAAAGATATTTTTTTATTCATTTTGAGTTTGTGTTATAAAAAAGTTTAATTTGGAGTAATTAATGCTCAGTCTCAATAATCAAATAAATTGTTTTCCTAGAAAAAGATTTATTATTCCCATCATTTAAAAAAAATCAAAAAATAAAAAGAGAGGAAGGGAGAGAAAAGATTTATTGTTCTTCCTTTTTTTTTTTTTTTCACTTCACTTTAAACTCTACGGCTAATACTGTTACGAAATGGCAGGAGGTTAGTTGGCTCCTACCAAGCGGGTATCAAGCAGCCAAAAATCTTAATGGTGAAACTCCATTCCAAGTTTTCCGCAGAGAACACCAGATATTGACAAAAGAAGCGGATGAATGTGTTAAGAAAACTTTAGATTCTTACATTCTCGTACCCGTTTTAATTGTCACCATTATGTTTGCGGCACTTCTCACGGTTCCTGGCGGGAACAATCAAGAAAACGGCATCCCCATATTATTGCACAGAAAACTGTTTTCTGGGTTTCTAATATGTGATGCGGTGTCTCTATTTTTTGCATCAACTTCAATGCTGGCATTTCTGGTTATACTCACATCATCCCATGATGCATTTTATGTTCCCCGATTTATGCCCTTGAATTGGATGTTGGCTATTTCCTCACTCATAATTTCAATAATATCGATGATCCTGGCCTTCACTTTTGCTCTTACGATTATGTTGCAAAGGAAGTGGGTGGCAGCTACTCTAATATTCGTACTTCTATTTCCCATCTCCATTTTGGTTAACTCGTCATATTTCATCATTGCTGATGCTTATAAATGGACGTTTCGATCAATAATCTTCCGAGAGATGGTCGATGGACGGCATTTATTGAAGCGTCTTCCTTGACGGTTTTTATGGTGTCAAATAATTTGTATTTTTTGTAATTTTGTAATGTCTGCGTTTATGGTATCAACCTTTTTTGTGAAAATATATGGTGTTTCACTTTTTTATTTTCCAGATTTCGTCTATTTCAATTTTCATTTTCATTTGGTTTTTCATTCTTTGTTTGGTTGTAAAGGAAATGCAAGAAATATAAAATATGAAAATTTGTTTGGTTGGGGGAAAGGAAGTGCACAAAAAAAATTCCAAAATTTTGTTTGGTTATTGGTAAAAATAATAATAATAAAAATAAAAATAAAAAGGGAAAAAGAGGAACCCATGTTTGGTTGTGAATAAATTGCAGGAAAATATTAGGGAAAAGAGTATAAAAAAATATTTGTAAA